TGTCTTCGTCTCTACATGGCAATCTGAGGCTCTATTATATGGTGGTTTGACATGTGCTCAAAATCACCCATATTCTTGACAAGTGGGGGTTTATGTTGCTTCTTCTTAATTGGGTGGTCCTTACTCTTTATAAAGACTATTGTAATTTAATATTTTCCTTATTAATTGCTTTATATACCTACTGTAAAAGGGTTTAGGTATCCCTAATACCTGTGTATTCCAATAATATTAACTATTTGCTGTCAAAAAAAAAAAAACCATTAATGTCTAAAACTTTCACGGTCATCTTGGTCAACCAATTCTCTTCTCATTATTGATTAATTCTTTTTGGAATGACCGTAGATAATTTGATGAGTTGAAGTTATGAATTTATGATATGACATACCTGCTTACAAGTTGATGTAGTGATAATTAATTTAATGGATAACCTTAAATTTGATTCTTAAGTGTACAAATCTTGCAAGTCATGACAATTTTACGAATGAGATTAACATTTAATTTAATAGACTAAAAATACTTATTATAGGGTAAAAATAAGACTTGTTTAATAATAAGTTGTAATTTCTTCCTACTAGATCAATTCTTATAGAGATAAATGATATTTTCAGTTAGGAATCAGTCCTTATATATAAAATATTTAACTGACAGTTTATAAAATCAAATTCTTTATAATAATTACTTTAAATGTTATAATTAAAATAATTTATAATTAATTGATATTTTAATGTGTAATGCATATGATGGTTATTTATTTTTTATAACTAAAATTTACAATAAATATTTTTTTTAAAAAGTAATGTTATAATTAAATTTCGTAATATTTATATTTTAATGTATAAAATTATATTTTAGATTTATGTTAAATAATTTATATTGTAATATTAAAAATTATCTATTGGTAGTTTTTTTGAAAACAAAAATATTGAAATAAAATATAGAAATAAAGATAAAATATGTATTGAAAGATATAAAATTAAAGAAATATATATGTAAAATCATTTGCATTAAATAAATTTTCTAAAAACAACCCTGTCAAAAAATATCTTCTAATAACACTTTTTTTCAATGTAATTATTTTAATTTTTATATAAAGAGAATTGAATGTGTAAAAAATCTTTATACTAAAAAGACATGAAAATTAAATTCGACTAAACTTACAATTTCCAATAAACTCTTGAGTCTTAGAGTCCATTTGATTATTTATTAAAGTACTATATAAGATAAATATAATTAATTTGTATTTAATTTTAAAAACACTATATATAAAACAAGACAAATTTGAAGAAGATAGAATAAAAAAAAAATGTTACTCAATTTTTTTTATCTCATGCAAAATACTAAAAAGACAAAAAATTTCTTAAGTTGTTTACATTGTCACGCCAAATATCGGATTACACATTCCGAAACACAAAAAAGAGAAGGAATAATAAGCCAATAACTTAGAAGGATTGAAAAACAAAATGTAAATTACTTCAAGAAAACTGTAACCTAAAGACTCCTATAATCTCTTACGTCAGGAGTTTGGACCAAGACAAGAGCAACACTATTGTGGTTTGGACTTTGGAGAGATTGAAATCGAAGTTTCGATTTACAAACCCACACAAGTTGTTTCATTTTCATTGTTGTCGGTAACGTTGGATGGAAGAAATCGATACTATAAATAGATTCGTCTTGAATATTTGAAATAAGGTGCATGAATTAATGTTGTTTTATAATTTTGATCATCGGATATAAATTTACGATATATTTAGATCAAATTATCCATATAAGTACTTTTAAATAAATAAAAAAAAAAGAAGTAAGCTTTTTAATGATTTAAAAGTAGCTTGTGTATTAACTAATTTATAAAAGTTTTTTATTTTAATTTTTTAAAAAACAAGTTAACATTTAAAAAAAATTATATTATTAATGTGAAGTATTCAAAATTAATTGATGATCACCAATATCTATCAAGAAATCTAACTAATCATCTTTCAGAAGGTATGAGATTTCTCTTTTTAACCACATTTTTTTCCTTACATAAGACTAGAAATAAAAAACTTAACAAATTTTACATCTTTAACTTTAAATAATATAGTAAATTAATTTAAGCTTTATAAATAATAAAAATTTATTAAAACTTTCTAATATTGTTTATTACTATATGTTTATTGAGAATTTTTCATTTTTTTATTTAAATATATTTTTAATAATTTTACGCTGAAATATATAACAAATTTCCCTGACATTTGGGGTGTTAATATCTAAACCAACTGGGGCATGCAACTCCAGTGAAATTGATTGTGCCTGATCATTTTCTTCCATATACTGAGATTCTGATCGTGATGTTCTTTGGTTTCTTATACCCGTGTCTTAAAAGGAGTGTGACACTCTTTACCCCAATATTAATACACAAAATAATTTTTTTTTTTTTAGTAAATAAAATCTTTCATAGTTAACATCTTTTATGGATAAAATAATTGTCAAATATCATAAGGTAGAAGATTCACATTCGTAACTCATAAATCATAACAACATGTAAGTATTAAAATTCAAGAAATTATATAAAAGAAAATATAGATTAATTCCAGCAAAGGTGGCAGTGCCTCCTAGTTAGGAACTAATTTATAATTTTTAAATCATGTAATAAAAGTAATACGACGACGATGTACATTTTGGTCTTTTATCAAGAACGTTCAAAATTACAAAAGAAAGATTACAAACTTTATTTACGTTATTTCTTCGCTAGAAATTATAAAAGAAAACAAACTAAAGTTATTAAAACCATAACATATTAGACTAAGCTAGCTAAGCCCCAATGTCACATCCTATCAGAGCATGCCCAACTGAAGCCATAAGCCATAAGCTTCATCACCAATATCCTCATGATGATGATCGCCTGCAACATAATTTAAACATATACAAAAATAACAAGGGAGTGAGAAACATCTCACTCAGTTTTATGTGAAGAAATAAAGGTTAGATAGCGCACACACATACACAACAAATATATAAGTCACATGTAAATAATACACATACATAATCAACAACACATATACACTTATTTGTCATGCAATGATGAACTCAACTCATAAATGCATGCATGTGGTGCCATAAGGAAGTTTCACAATTCATCATCAATAGTGACCCTAAGGCACACCTGGTTACATCACTGGATACCCTAAGGTACACCTGGTTATATCACTGGTGACCCTAAGGTACACCTTGTTAAAAAGTTACATCACTGGTATGCGGCCTCAACGGCACACTTGGAATAATATATGCATATGATGCATGTCATACAATCATTATTTCATTGACTCAACATTTAACTTATTTCATTTAGTACCTCATGTCATCATTTTTCATGTTCTCATAGTCATAGCTTGTCTCAATAGTCCATTCTTAGGTCTCATGTCATTTGTCCATATTTCACATGGTCATGTCATAAATACTTCTCATAAGGTCCGCACAGGAATTTACAGAGAACATTCTTTTTCATATTAAAACTTATATAATTTTAGCATTAATTCCTTATCATTTATTACTTTCAAGGAACAAAGTAACAAGGAACAAAATAACAAGAAACAAAGTAACAAGGAACAAAGTAACAAGGAACAAAGTAGAGCAAACAGAAAGACAGAACAATAGGCAAGGGATTGGGGGCCAATCCGACAATCAAACTATCCAACAATTATCCCCACACCCCTTAGCGAGGTTTCTCACTCCCCCCTTACCTGGATAAGCAGGAGTTGAAACTTGGGCAGAACCTCCTCCTTTAGATTCCCTCTTTCTTTCCCTCTATTTCTTTCTTTTTCTCTCCCCCCCTCTCTCTTTCTCTCTCTAAAATTTTCACTTCTTACTGAATATAAATTTTTTTCACCCCTGCCCCCTATTTATAGGCATTCTGGGGTCCCCGGAACGGCTCGTACTGAATTCGAAACGGCCCGTTCCAGATCCTTCAAGTGTATGCAAAATTTTCAACTAGAACGGCCCGTTCCAAAATCGGAACAGTCCGTTTTCAAAAAGCAGAACGACCCGTTCTAAAATTAGAATGCCCCGTTCTGGGATCCCTTTTAACACAGATTAATCATAAGTAGAACAGCTCGTTCTCAACACCAGAACGGCCCGTTCTTAAATTAAAACGGTCCGTTCTGGGGTTGATTTTAACCCACATTGACTATACTTGGAACGGCCCGTTTCCAACTAATAATTTTAGGCCATGTTACTACCCTGGAACGGCCCGTTCCACCTTTTGGAATGGCTTGTTCCGCTTTTTCGGAACAGCCCGTTCCGCTTTTCGGAATAGCCCGTTCTGGGCCTAAAAAAAACCAAAATTAATTTTTTTTATAAATGATTTAAATTATTACAAGACTTTAAAATATTCTCTAAAGCCCCTTTTAATTAACTAAAACAACCATAAGAAAATAACCTTCATAAATATAAAAATAAATAATAGTAAATATTGCATTAATATAAAATTCGGGGAGTTACAGAAATGATTGTTTAATTAAAAAAACTTAATTGATTTTTTTTATATTTTAAAATATGTTTTATCTATGACGTTAGTTTTGATTACACCAAAGGAAATAGATTTATCAAAGCAGTTTAAAAGGACATGGTGAGAAGATAACCAATCCATACCAAGAATTACATCTAATTGACTAAGAGGCAAACAAATTAAGTCAACTAGAAACTGCTTATCAGAAACTGTCAAAGGACATTTCAAACACACTAGGGATGTAGTCACAGGACCATTAGTAGGGGTTTCAACAACTAAATCAAAATCTAATAAGGACACAGGCAAATTGAATTTTTGGACACAAGAGACAGAAATAAAGGAATGAGTTGCACTAGAATCAAATAGTACAACAAAAAGAGTCTCAGATATGAAACAAGTACCTTGTATCAAATTTTCTGACCGAGAAGCTTCAGCACCACTAAGAGACTCTCCCTACAGTCTTTGGACGCTCAATTTGCGAACCCGATCCAATAACACGTTGTCTTCGTGGTTCAGGACATTAGGTGCTGATGTGACCTTTACCATTGCAGTTGAAGTAGGTAATCTCCTTGTCACGACAGTCAGACTGATTATGACCAACATGTCCACACTTCCAGCATCTTACTGAAGGAGTGGACACAGACCCTCCAACACTTCCAGTAGCACTAACAGTAGATCCTCTTGTAAATGACTTGCTCTTATTAGCAGCAGCTTTACTCCCTTGAAATCTAGTAGGAGTAGAGTAAGGCTTACTTCTTCTTGAAGTACTAGAATTCACAGCACGGATAGGACCTCCAACTCCTTTATAGAAAGCAGCACGATCACAGTTGTCACGATCATAAATGCTGCACTTATTGACTAGAGTGGGAAAGTGATATATCTCTTGATAGTTAATTGCAGTTTTCACTTCAGGACTTAGACCATTTACAAATTTTATGCATTTAGCCCTTTCACCACCCTCACCATGGTAGTGTGTACAATGACGGACCAAAGCATCAAATTTGGCAGCATACTCTGCCATTATGTCATTCCCTTGATTCAGCTCAAGGAATTCCATTTCTTTCCGACTCCTCACATCATCCGGGAAATACTTCTCAAGAAAAGCTTTCTTGAAGTTGTCCCAATTCAAGTGCACCTCTCCATCAATCATTCTCCGAAGTGCTCCTTCCCACCAAAAGTGAGCATCAGCAGTCAACATGAAGGTGGCCAACTTCACCTTCTGAGTGAGGGGATAATCCATGACATTGAAGATCTTCTCGATCTCAGTTAGCCAATTCATAGCAGCATCTGGGTCATATATATCCTCCTTTAAAGGTAGGTGGGTGATTTCGTTGAAATTGCTCTAACCAGTTAGGAGCGACCTCAGCCCTATTGTTATTATTCATAGCTTGTGCTAATGCTTGAAGAGCATCAGCAATCGCACGATCATTTCTACCAGCCATAGTCTAAGAAAATAATACAATTAATAAACATAATCAATCATCATACTAGCATACCAACAAGTTTCACAATCAATTCAGTCCATCATTCATGTACCAAATAAGCATAGTAAACCAAATAAGCATAGTAAACTCATAACTCACGGTCGATTAGATCGACCTGCTCTGATACCACTAAATGTGACACCCTCTACCCCAACATTAATACACAAAATATTGTTTTTTTTTCCTTTTTGAGTAAATAAAATCTTTCATAGTTAACATCTTTCATGGATAAAATAATTGTCTCAAATATCATAAGGTAGAAGATTCACATTCGTAACTCATAAATCATAACAAGTCGACATGTAAGTATTAAAATTCAAGAAATCATATAAAAGAAAATATAGATTAATTCCAGCAAAGGTGGCAGTGCCTCCTAGTTAGGAACTAATTTATAATTTTCAAATCATGTAATAAAAGTAATATGACGAAGATGTACATTTTGGTCTTTTATCAAGAACGTTCAAAATTACAAAAGAAAGATTACAAACTTTATTTACGTTATTTCTTCGCTAGAAATTACAAAAGAAAACAAACTAAAGTTATTAAAACCATAACATATTAGACTAAGCTAGCTAAGCCCCGATGTCACATCCTATCAGAGCATGCCCAACTGAAGCCATAAGCCATAAGCTTCATCACCAATTATCCCTACACCCCTAAGCGAGGTTTCTCACTCCCCCTTTACCTGGATAAGCAGGAGTTGAAACTTGGGCAGAACCTCCTCTTCTAGATTCCCTCTTTCTTTCCCTCTCTTTCTTTCTCTTTCTCTTTCTCTCTATCTCTCTCCCTCTCTCTTTCTCTCTCTAAAATTTTCACTTCTTACTGAATATAAATTTTTTTCACCCCCTGCCCCCTATTTATAGGCATTATGGGGTCCCCGGAAAGGCCCGTACTGAATTCGGAACGACCCGTACTGAATTCGGAACGGCCCGTTCCGGATCCTTCGAGTGTATGCAAAATTTTCAACTAGAACGGCCTGTTCCAAAATCGGAACGACCCATTTTCAAAAATCAGAATGGCCCGTTCTAAAATTAGAACGGCCCGTTCTGGGATTCCTTTTAACACAGATTAATCATAGTGGAACGGCCCGTTCTCAACACCAGAACGACCCGTTCTTAAATTAAAACGGCCCGTTTTGGGGTTGATTTTAACCCACATTGATTATACTTGGAACGGCCCATTTCCAACTAATAATTTTAGGCCATGTTACTACCCTGGAACGGTCCGTTCCGCTTTTCCGGAATAGCCCGTTCCACTTTTCGGAACAGCCCGTTCTGGGCCTAAAAAAAAACCAAAATTAAATTTTTTATAAATAATTTAAATATTACAAACCTTTAAAATATTCTCTAAAGCCCCTTTTAATTAACTAAAACAACCATAAGAAAATAATCTTCATAAATATAAAAATAAATAATAGTAAATATTACATTAATAGAAAATTCGGAGTGTTACAAGGAGCATGTGGCTGATCAGTCATTTATGCAGTGAGATTTTGAATCTCATTAATTATGTCTTTGCCATGAGTCTGTGAAGCTGAAACATGTTGAAACTTGATCTCACTCACTACAAGTGTTGGTGCCATTATCTTGAGAAGTCACGGGACATGGCAGTGGTGCAGGTATTCAATTTTGTACAGGAGATTCTACATATTTTGACAGAATTGATATTTTTGTTTCAATGATAACTCAACCGAATGGGTAAAGGTACTAGTAGTTAGGCATCTTACTCGTTACACTGTGTGGGTGAATTTTGTTCGGTAGATTCTTTATATTCTAACAATGTTTAATAAATTATGATTTCTAAATATTCTTTAATTATTAATTATAAGACTTGAATCACAAAGAGTAAAAATTATAATGGTTAAGTGATTAACATAAATATTGATAGAAGAAATTATATCAGAAAATACTAATAATAAGGAAAGTAAATAGAAGAAAGAAAATTAAATATATTATTATACTAAAAGGAAAGAAAAAAAAAGTGGTAAGAAAATATATACAAACATCTCTTGAAACCGGAAGTCATAAGTGAGTAGGCAGAATGGTGTCCAGAGGTTTGTGGAAAGTGATTTTGATTCTTAACTCAGATCTGATTCAAGTATTTAAAGAAAAACTTACAATGATTATTCAATCCTAAACATGACACTATACAACCTTCGATAAACCATTAACAACTATTGCTAACTTCTCTAACTTCCTTTTCTTTCGAAAATTTCTTTTGATGATTATCCCCTCTAGGTCTTTCACATTCAATCTCTAACCTTCAAGTATGCTGAAAATTTGCACATAGATGCGCCCAAAAAATATTTGTCTCAAATTGTTTGAGAACAACTAATTTTTATAACAAATTTCTTCATTCGTCTATTCCTTTGATTTAAACCTATTCTTCTCCCATACAAATTCTCAAGAAAAGTCTATGCATTTAATGCCTTTCTAATGCCAAATCACATCAAATATATCTTATCCCAACAAACAAGAATTTGGTGGTTGATATAACACTCTTATTCGTGAACTAAAATTATGAATTTCATTGAAGTTTTAAAATTTTGAAATTTTGATTTTTTTCAAATTTCAAATATCCATTAAAATTTTCTTAAGCCCATCAAAAAAGCTCATTATTATTTATATATATATATATATA